TTTTTTTTTTTTTTTTTTTTTTTTTTTTTTTTTTTTCTATGTTGCACGCTGTCTCCTTATATAATAGATAGAGAGAGGGAAGAATTCCCTTATCCAAATGTGAGGGACTGTCCCTCAGGTGTCTCCTCAGCTCCCCCTAATTATACACACAAAGGTTCGAGTGCATGCAGGCAACTGCAGCAGCATATTGTAAGGCAGCAGCAAATTTCCTTAAGAAACAAAGTGGGTAAGAATTTCCTTATATATATAAGACATATAAGAAAAAAGATAAAAAAAAAGAAGAAATAATTAACAATAAAAAAGAAATAAATATATAAATTATAAATTCAATGAAATATACAGACAAATATAATAAAAAAAAGGAAAATAATGATGGGCTTTATAAGGGGGCCCTCCTATGAGCGTTGGAGGCATGCTGCTGCTGCTGCTGCTGCTGCTGCTGCTGCTGCTGCTGTAGGCTTTCTGTGTTGTTGTGCTGCAGCTACCTATTAAACCTTTATATAAATATATTTTTATAATTCTTTTTTATATATAAATTTAATTATTTTATATTTATTGAATATAAATTGAGGCAAAGAATCTGTGTGCAGCTTACTGCCGCTAGACGCCTGCTGGAGCAGCAGCAGCAGCAGCAGCAGCAGCAGAAAAGGCTGCCTCGAGCTGCAGCCGCTACTGCTGCTGCTGCTGCTGCTGCTCTCAAGACTTTCTATATTACCCTTTCTTTTAATAGAGATGTTGCCTCTCTAAACAAAAGAAATAATTGCCTTCTTCTTACCTAGAGATAAGCTGCTCCTACAGCTGTTCTACCGCTGCAGCAGCAGCAGCAGCAGCAGCAGCAGCAGCAGCAGCAGCAGAACAATAATATATATACCAGCAGCAGCAGCAACAACAACAACACACTCTACTGGAGGTTGTGGTGTTCTTTCTCCCTTTCTTCTGTTCCTCTTTGACAAGAATCGTAAACCCTAGCTGCAGCCCTCCGCCATAAACCCTAAACCCTAAACCCTAAACCCTCAAGATGTCGGAGACGCAAGTTGCACCCAGTCGCATGTGCGCAAGTTTCAATGCCTCTACTGCTGCTGCTGCAAAGGCTGAAGCAGCAGGAGCTGCTGCCGCTGCTGCTGCGACCGGGGATGGCTGCTGCTGCTGCTGCTGCTGCTGCTACGGTCGCGCTGCTGCCGCTGCAGTTACCGTTGCTGCAGGGGTTCGGTGTTGCTTGACGAGCTGCTGCTGCAGCTAGGGGACCTGTTGCTGTTGCTGCTGCTGCTGTTGCTGTTTCTGCTGCTGCTGCTGTCCAGTGTGTTTAGTGGCATGGCTTTGCTATTGCCTGGACATTTCCTGTTGCTGCTGTTAATGCTGCTGTGCTGCTGCTGCTGCTGCTGCTGCTGCTGCTGCAGGACACTGCAGATAGCGAAGCAGAAGAAGAAAGGAGCTGCTCAAGGTTATCAACTCCTCAAGAAGAAGAGCGATGCTCTCTCTGCTCGCTTCCGTGGCATGCTAAAGGAAATAGTCAAGGCAAGGGTTTAGGGTTTAGGGTTTAGGGTTTGGGGTTTAGGGTTTAGGGTTTAGGCTCTGTTGCTGAGAGTGTAGGGTTTAGGGTTTAGTGTGTATGCGGAGGTATGATGAAGTGTGTGGGGTTTAAATAATGTAGCCAAGAGTGTGTGTGTGGGGTTTAGGGTTTAGGGTTTGAGGGTTTAGGGTTTAGGGTTTAGGGTTTACGTTATTTCTTCAGACAAAACTGTCAATAGGAGACAACATTAATGAGGCACACTTCTCTCTAGCTAAGGCCTCTTGGGCAGGAGGCAGTGACTTGCGTGGACAGCTTATGCAGGTGTGTGTGTCCAAGGGTTTAGGGTTTAGGGTTTAGGGTTTAGGGTTTAGGGTTTAGGGTTTAGGTTTTTAACCTTTCCATGCCAACCACGAGGATGCAAAACCACCAAAAAATTGCGGATTATCTGCTTATACTTCTCTTCCCCTCCTACACCAGCCTAATATAGATTAGGGTTTAGGGTTTAGGGTTTAGGGTTTATGTTGTCTATATACAGCGTATAAAACGTCCTGCAGTATTTGTGACGGCTGCCTATGATAATGTTGCGGGAGTTCGATTGCCCGTCTTCCAAATCACTACAGACCCTACTGTTGATAGTGCGTCTCTTTTTTTTTTTTTTTTTTGTCTCTTTTTTTGTCTCCTTTTTGTCTCCTTTTTTGTCTCCTTTTTGTCTCCTTTTTCTCGCGGCAGTCTCCTGTGTATTGTTTGTTGCCTCTTTTGTCTCTTTGTGTCTTCTTCTTCTTCCTCTCCCTCTAATTGCTCTTTGTCCTCTCTTTGCCTTGTCCCAGTAGTATTTTAGGGTTTAGGGTTTAGGGTTTAGGGTTTAGGGTTTAGGGTTTAGTGTTTATGCAGTCCTTAAGAATATAAATCTGTCTGCTGGTGGTCATGTTATTCTTGCGGCAAGAGATAAGTACCAAGAAGCACTTGCTGAGCTTGTTAAGTTAGCCTCCCTTCAGGTACACCTATAAACCCTAAACCCTAAACCCTAATTCCTAAACCCTAAACCCTAAACACCAGATAGTTGTTATGTAGAGATATGCCATCAAACCCTTGAACCAGTCAACCAGTCCTTGGGGTTTACAACGCTTGTGCATGGGAAGGAGCTCCGCTGTCGCTTGTTGACTGGGGTTTAGGGTTTAGGGTTTAGGGTTTAGGGTTTGCTGGTGTCTGCTTCTGCAGACGGCTTTCTTTACGTTGGATGCGGAGATAAAAATGACCAACAGACGTGTCAATGCACTCAACAACGTAAGCCCAAGGGTTTAGGGTTTAGGGTTTAGGGTTTAGGGTTTAGGGTTTAGGGTGTCGTCGCGAAGGATTCATGTGCCTTGTGAAGCTGTTTGAAGGTTCTTCTCTTCAACGGCTTGATATCCGAGTTAGGGTTTAGGGTTTAGGGTTTAGGGTTTATCGCCTAGGGTTTAGGGTTTAGGGTTTAGGGTTTGCATGCAGGTGGTTCTGCCTAAGCTGGATAGAAGTATAACATACATCACCAAAGAATTAGATGAGATGGAGCGTGAGGAATTCTTCAGGTACAAATATATTAGGGTTTAGGGTTTAGGGTTTAGGGTTTAGGGTTTAGGGTTTAGATACCCTAGACTCTGTAGGAGATAGAAATGAGGGTTTGGGGTGTGGAGGTTGCATCTCTTCTTCTTTCTTAACTATGCCTAGGCAAGTTCCTTGCCTCCTTTGCGTTGGGGTTTAGGGTTTAGGGTTTAGGGTTTAGGGTTTGTGCGTTGCAGACTAAAGAAGATCCAGGAGAAGAAGAAGGTAGCTAGGGAGGCAGAGCAGCAGGCAATGGAGGAGGCAGCAAAAGCCATAGGTAAGTGTTCAATACAAACACTTATTTAGGGTTTAGGGTTTAGGGTTTAGGGCTCAGGCAGCAGCAGCAAGATGTGTTGTTTTTTTTTCCTGCAGAGGCAGAGGCAGGCCCATCGTCAATACTGGCGGACGATGAGGACGATCTCCTCTTCTAAGCAGCAGCAGTAGCAGCAGCAGCTGCAGCAGCAGCAGCAGCAGCAGCAGCAGCAGCAGCAGCGGCTTCTTCTGCACCGATACATCTAGCAGCAGCAGCAACTATGTTGTACGCTGCTTCCTTGCTGCAGCAGCAGCAGCTGCGTTGCTGCTGCTGTGTTTTTTTCTATATCCGCATTGGGGTCCCCCAGAGGACGATTTGCTGCTGCTGCTGCTGCTGCTGCAGCTACAGCAAATCACTGTGCATGCATCATGCATGCATATATGCATGAATGGTTTGTTGCTGCAGCAGCAGCAGCAGCAGCAGATCGTGCATGCAGGGACAGTGCAGAGCCTGGACGTGGCCTGTGCTGCATCTTAGCTGCTGCTGCTGCAGTGTAGAGATGTGCTGCTGCAGCAGCTTTGCTGCCGCCGCATGCATGCTGCAGCAGCTGTAGTAAGGGCGGGCCTGCTCTAATGGGCCCTTAAGAGAGTCTCCTGTGTCTTCTGCTGCTGCTTGCTGCGGCAGCTGCTGCAGCAGCTGCTGCAGCAGGCAGAGCTTCAGCTGTATAGACACCGCAGCTGTTGCTGCAAAAGGAGACACTGCAACTGCTGCTGGCTATCCGCTGCAGCTAAAGGCCACTGCTGCAGCAGCAACTGGTGCAGCAGCACCAGCAGCATCTGCTGCTTGAATTCACTAGGTAGTGCTGCTCCTTATGCCCCGAAAGGGAAGGAGGAGACAGCAGCAGCAGCAGCAGCAGCAGCAGCAGCAGCAGAGGCAGCAATTGCACGTTTGCAATGACATCAGACAGACACAGAGTTGCTGCAGCTGTGAGTAACGTGCTGCAGCAAGACAGCAGCAGCAGCAGCAGC